GTGGGCTGCTGTTTCGACCTTGTATCGGTCTTATAAACACCCTAAGCAGGAGTCGAACTGCTACAGTGCAGGATGGGAGCTGGACACGCTAACCATTCGGCTACACTGCCACGAGCGCCTTTTTGGTCATAGGGCAAATGTGAATTTTCATGGAAGGCCAGGCCTTTTTGCCATATCATATTCTTTTGTTGGAATTGTCGATGAAGCAAACGTATATCTGCTATAACAATCGACTACCATACTTTATTTTTCGAATTAAGTATTGTTTTCGTGACTACCAGTAAATCAGTAATATGAGATGCATTCACCCAATTTCGTGTAAGGTGATGAGGGACTGGTAGAAGAAGAATTTTCATACAACCCTCGATAAAAAATTATTTTTAAAGATTAATATAAAATATTAGAGGCAAACAATTCCCACTCTGCACTGTCACGGCTTGACTCCCGCTGGGGGTGTTGATAAGACCGATGCAAGGTCGAAACTGCAGTCCACCCTGAATGAGAACAACTTTTGGGAAAGCAAGGCTATGTAAAATTCAATGGAAACCTCAGTTTAACTCATCATTGTGGGAAAATTCTTATTCTACCAGTCCTTCATCACCTTATACGAAATCGGGTGAATACATTTCATATTACTGATTTACTGGTAGTCACGAAAACAATACTTAATTTGAAAAATAATATATTTTAGCTGTTCCAAAAATCTAAATCCAAAAAATTGCATAATGCATAAATTTAGCAAATGTGCGATTCGCACTCAATAATGAGATGAGATAAATTTCGTTTTTTTATTTGGAGATGATGTGAATGAAAAATAGGCGCTAACAACGAATACACCATTTCAAAAAGTACCTGAGGTATTCAAATAAATGTCTGGTACAGCAACATATCATGACTGTTGACAAGAAGATCCAACGATTGAGTTGGTATCCAACCTTTCCATGCATGAAGCAAAGATTGACAGCCTACGACACTGGATGAAATTCAATGTTTTTAGTGTGTAGATATGGGTGATAAGGAGATTGATGATTCAATTTTCCCACAATATCAATATACCTTACGTTTACATACAATTTAATTTAGTCTTGCCTTCCCACAAGCTATTCCCGTCCAGAGTGGACTGCGGCTTCAACCTCGCCTAGGTCTCTTTAGCACCCTCAGTGGGATTCGAACTATGCGCGTAATCTTAGCAGGTTAACCACTCATCCACATTGCCGCGAGTACCCTTACGTCACAGGTCAGATAGCAATCAACCACATTACTTATTTTTTGTTTCATAAGTATGTTTTCGAGACCACCATAAATGAAATAGGATGAATACAATTCTTGGCTAATTTATAAAGAAAAGAAGAAAACAGCCTGGCCAATTTTCACTTTACATATTCAGCATTGATATCCACATATTAAAACATGAAGTATAACAAGCTACTTGAGGAACCGTATGTTATATCTGTGCGAAAGTATCTTCATGAAAATAACAACAATGTGATAATTCAAATGTTGAATTTGGTATAACACAAGCTAAATAAGTCAATAATCGTAAAAAGCAGAGTTTTGAAAAGTGATTTTATCGAATTAAAAAACTCACATAGAGAGTGAAGTGTACTGTCGAAATCAAAATATAATGTAGGCCAGATCGCCCAAACCTGCTCCGAGTCATGGCAACCATGGTCGATGATATCACTTTTATCTCTCAAATATGATTGAGCCCTCGTTCTTGAAGCCTGATTAGCCTGAGAAGTCTTGCATTGGCTAGCCTTAATATGCTCCGGGATACTGCGAATGAAGAAGAGGTAGGAATTAGGTAAAATAGATTTATTCCCAAAATGATAGTTCTATGATGAATGAGCGTCTAAAGTTCGACCAATGTAAGAGTAAACAAGGTGAATGACAAGATTCCGCTCTAAGGTAAAACAACAAGGCATATTGAGGTCAAAGCCAGGTATTCATATAACTTATCTTCGAAGAAACA